CGGACAAGGTGAGTTATAGTAAGTCGCCTTGACAACAAGACCATGTTGCGACAACAAAGTCAAATGACTTTTAGAAATCAAAAGGAGCCTGCGACCACATCATCTTGGTCTTTATATTTTCAAAAAAGATTTAAAATCCAACTTTTCTTCGCATAAATAGTCTTGTGAATGTGTGATAAAAAGCTGGCCTTCAAAGAATGTGGCTTGACTTTTTCAAAAGAAATCTTTTACACTTTCACTCAAAATGGAGGCGAGCTCAATAGACCCGAGGCTGTAGATGGTGACTGGACTCGTGAAGATGGGACTCCCGGTTGTTGTCCGGACGGACCGACAAGTCGAGCCTGGTCAAAGCCCGGTCTGGAAGGAGGCTTAAAAGCGGTGCCAAGACGGAGAGTCGTTCTACAGATGGCCAGACAAGGACAGCAGAAAGTGACAATTCTGCAAATATGGCAGACGAGGCGAGCATCGCCTAACAAGATTAGGCTGGCTTGGTGAAATGAAGCGTATGCACACACTTTCAGCCTCGACGAAGAGCTTCACACCAGCTGGACGATCTCGTAGGTCGTCGACCGATGAGCCGGAAGCACTTGGCCATGGCCGAATGCACTAATTGAGCAAGGGTTAAATAAATCGGTTAGTCTGACGAAGGGTGAAAGGGTTGGGGAACCGGGACTCGGACGAGTGAAGAGGCTGCGGTAACCGATAAGTCGTCTAGAGCAGTGGGCAAACCTCTGCAAATCAATGCCCTTTTCTCAAGGCCTAGACTGACGTTGAGGCAGCAGAACGAGCCGAAGACACACCTTTCTTCTCTGGCCATCTTCACTCCCGTCCCCTTCTGTCCCAGCACGGCCAGGCTGTAAGCCAGCAGACAGTTGGCTGCAACGACCTCCCTAAGGTGTGTAGTTTTGCCCCATTCTTCAGTTGCGTTGGCGACCAAACCGTCGTGAGGTGTGGACGCTTTGTTTGCAGTGTCACTTCAACAAGCGCCTAAGCAAACAGCGATCCAGTGATACAACCCGATCAAAATGATGGGCCAAACTAGGTCTAATGACAGGGTTCTAAGTCCATCAGTTACAAATGATAAAATCTGTACTCACTCAAGGTCGCCTAGAATGATTAGAGAAGGTGGGAAAATTAAACTATGATAACTTTTAGGATAGTACAACTCGATGGTATGAATCCCACTGGTGGTGTGGTCTCTATTGTGGGCTAGATAGATTGCATACTGAAAGAACAAAATCAAATCAACGCACAGATCAGGGAACCAGCAGGGAGTGTGAATAGGCCTCACCAAATCCGTTCAATATGGCACACCTCTGGGGCGTGTTAAATTAACCAGTTGTTATGGCTCACTTCCATTTTGAGCAAAAGTATGTGATAAAGAGATTTGAAAGTCAATTGGACCAGAAGACGGTGGATTCATCTTGGTCAGCCTCTGTTCCAAAGTCTACCTCCTTCGAATCCGGTGAAAACTTGCTCAGCTTTTGTCCGTCACATGAGGGTTATCATCATTCGAAGAACCATATTCACGAGCCTATCTTTAAACGCTTTATAAATACTCTGAATCTATGCGTTTTGATGAGGAATACAGTAATTTGGTTAGTTTAAGTCAAGTGCCAATGTAGAAGCATGTGTGTGCGTTCATATGACCCTATGTTTATGTATACGCATGAAACTGGTGGTACCCAAAATAGGCACGGTATGAGCCGTGATGTTGAAAGGAGCGATACCAGGACTGTACCACAAGTATTCAGCAGAAATGGGTTGCTGATCAGATGTAGTTTGCTAGTATAATTGACAAGGCACAATGATGATAGCAACTATGGCGTAGGCGAAATGTATGGGATTGTACTGAGTACATTGTCCGACGCTGGAAAGTAGCATAGCTACTTTAACAGAGAACTCTGGACAAGGTGTATTCACCCAAGTCTCTCTGACAAAACGACCTAGTTGCGAACATAAATTGATTTTTTTTCGAATTAAGTATTATTTTTCGTAACTACCAGTAAATCAGTTATAAGATATATTCACCCAATTTCGTTTAAGGTGATGAATGACTGGTAGAAGTAGAATTTTCCCACAAATGGTATGAGTTGAGCTGACATTTCCATATCATAAATTGAGCCGTCGATTCGAATGCTAGCCACATATTTTGCTTCATTGACAATTCCAATTAAACTGTGATTTATGCGAGTCCTGGCTTAGTTATTACTTCGAAGCAAAATTCGGTCGGAAGGTATTTGTGAATGGCATCACAACGAACGGAAGTAGGAACGAGAACTATTGGATTTTATAAAAAAAGTCCACTCATCATCGTCCTCTGTCTTCGATAATTGAGTATTGAGTCGAGTCCCATTTTGCATGTTAAAGAGACGCAGGCGTTTATCGGGCATCGTAAGTCTTCTGAGGGACAAGAAGCAGTGAAATTCGTTGTTCTCGTGAGGTCTAATCATTTCTTTGTGGAAAATTCAAATATATCTTTCAACCTAAGACCCCAAGTGACATGGGATGGGTAAAATATATGAAAAACCGGCCCCTTTCATTGTAATGAGATGTATTTACCCTATTTCGTCTAAGGTGATGAAGGACAGATAAAAGAAGAATTTTCCCACAATAATATGTTAGTTGAGCTGACGTTTCCATTGAATTTCACATAGCCTTGCTTTCCTAAAAGTTGTTCTCATCCAGGCTGAAGTGGACTGCAGTTTCGACTTCGCATCGGTCTTATCAACACCCTAAGCGGGAGTCGAACCGCGACAGTGCAGGATAGAAACGTGACACGCTAACCACTCATTGTACTTTGCCCAATCTGATACCAGTTATCAAGTTCGACCATACAAACGGGATATGCCTCTCTACTTCTTAAGGCCAGTGCTATCAGACGACATCTGACCGCCGGCAGCAGCAAACACTAATAGACGGTTTGAGCCTCATAAGTACGAACCCATTTGCACGAAATAGTTTTATCACCTCTTGCGATCTATACAGATGGTAATTTGGGAGGACTAACAATGAGGTTAAGAAGTATCCACCGAAAAGTATTCCGTCTGATTATATTCATTGTAGGTAGTTTTAGAGACTATCAGTAAATCTGAAATACGAATTAAAGTGACTCTAGGCCGCATAAGATGATGGAGGACGAATAATTCAATTTTCCCATAGTACTATCTGCTGCATGTTATTTAGACTTGCTTCCCAAAAAGGTATTCTCATCCAAGCTGATATGGACGGTAGTTTCGATCTCGCCTGGGTCTCATAAACACTCCCCACTAAAAGTGAATCCAGGTGCAAGGGAATCTCGTGGCAAACTGACGTAGTGGAAACATTTTGAGAATATAGGCTGCACTATATTGGCTCGATTCCCGCTAGGGGTTCTGGTGAGGCCCTTGCAAGGTCAAAACGGCAGTCCAATTCAGCCTTGTTGAGAACACCTTTTGAAAGGCAAATGGTCGAAGGAAAGCGTGACCTGAGCCCATAATCTTAAACCATATGCATAAACTTTGATTATTTGAGAAAGGAAACAAGATGACCATTTGCTGTCAGTCAGCCCAAAAAGTCGCTTAGTCCTTTTCTCACAATCGAAGCCTTCTAGTTGGTATGTAAAGACGATTTCCGAAGCTGAGTTATGAAAGACCAATGTGAGCCAAAGGTGACATTTAGTCTGTAGAGCTTACTTTCATGTCAAGTGAAAATGCTTGGTGAATAGATTCGAAGGTCGATTCCACCAGATGACGATGACGGATTTCCATAGACCAGCTGCCGATTGGCCTCAGTGGAACATTCATGTTGACGTTGCTAACGAGGAAATTTCCTACGATTCCGGTGAAAACATGCTAAACTTTCGTCCGTCGTCGAAACGTCGAACATAATCAGAGCAAGGTATCATTGTCACAACCGAATTCAAACTAACGAGTCAAGAAAACTCACAGGCTCATGCCTAAATTGCTGTATATATACTCTATATCCGAGCTCTTTGATAAGGTATAAAGGGATTTAGCTAGTTCCAGTTATAAGTCAACCTAGGAACATGTGAGTGTTGAGCTTACTTCCATTTCGAGTGAAAGTGTTGGGTGAAGAGATTGGAAGGTCGATTCCACCAGAAGACGACGGCGGATTCCTCTTGACCAGCTGTTCGTCATATGACGGACAAAAGCTTAGCACCTTTTCACCGGAATCGAAAGAGATTGCCTCGGAAACAGCCTCAGCATGAATGTTCCAGCAAAGCCAATCGACAGCTGGTCAAGAGGAATCCGCCGTTGTCTTCTGATGGAAGCGACCTTCGAATCTCTTCACCCAACAATTTCACTCGAAATGGAAGTAAGCTCAACAATTATGAAACAAGAGATTCCTCGAAACCCAACTTTTCCTCGCATATGAGTGTGTCTGTCTCTGTATGTGTTCGCATAAACACGAAACCGGCAGTGATAGATAAAATTAATTAGTTTTTCGCATATAAGTAATTGGGACAGCGAAAGTCACGTCTGTCCTCAGCCAGCAAAGTGTGATGACTACCATTACCGTCGTATTCTGGTG